CCCCAAAACCCCAAAACCCCAAAACCCCTTAAGTCTAATCTTAAAGAATAAAATATAAATATTATATGAACAGACACAGAACAAAAAAGCCTAAGCCAAAATCTCTCTTTAAGCATTTTAAAAAGCTTAATAACAGAATTATCATTCTCACAGATGTGTAAGTTGGTATAGTTCTATGCCATCATTGAGAATCAGGTAATGATCTTTTATAGTCTTGAGAAGGAGGTTGATTCCTCTAAGGCATCACAAAAGGGCAAGATTAACATAAACCGTCACTCCAGAATCAAGAGTATAGACTCTTATATAGATCAAGCGAATCAGAGGAAGTTGTCCCTCACTCATGAATCCAAGAAGAAGACAAGACAAAAACTTAGGAAATTAAGAAACAGAAAGGTCAGTAATTGCTTGGAAGAACAAAAATTAATTGAAGATATGAAATTAATAAAGCTACCTGAAAAGAACGCCAAACCGAAGTTACACATCTGGCCTAGCTTTAATACTGATGAGGAGTTGTTGTCTGAGAATACCAATGAGTTCCTCAGATTTGATTTCAAATAAATAAGCCTATTATACAAAACAAGGTGCTTGTCAGAGAAAATTTTATGCAAAGGAACGTTAGAAATATAAAAAGACCAATCACGTCTAAATCAAGGAATGGTAAACCCCTTCATTCAAGATTTGTCAGTGGGAGTAGCATAGATCACCAAAAGCATCAGAAGAAGTTTACTGGTGGTGCTAATATTAAGACCTGCTTCTCACCAAATGGAAGAAATAATCCCAAAAAGAGACTTCTCTCAGCTGAAAATAGTGAGGGGAGGAACAACTATCATAATGTAAATTTTAGTATCATCAAAAATAGGAAACTATGTTCAGTGTGAATATTTCTACTGGGGATAAGAACTCATTATTTTCTCCTCAAAATTACATGTCTCAAGCCAGCTCTGATGGTAATACCAAAGAATCTCCAAAGAGATATTTTGTAAGGAAATAGAATGAAGAAAGTATTGCTTTTAAGTAAGCAATTTTCTGAAGATAAACTGAGTGTACCTGATATGATGAAGTCACAAAATAGTATAATTATTGATAAAACTCCAAATGATATTGACTATGTATTTACCAATCAACAAATTAAGCAGCTGATTAGTGTTAGGAGCGAAGATTTTGGCTGAAATTATTCAGATTTTCAAAAGGAACTAATGCAGAAAATCGTTCACAAATAACTGAAGAAACTCTATAATCAGGTTAAACAATCTCAAATTTGGCTTGAAAAGTTTAGAATATCTATCTGATCTAATGTATTTCTCAAAAAGAATCTCTAGACTGTATTTGAGCAATAACTCGATTGGGGATCAAGGAGTAGAGAAGATATCAAAATTTCTGAAAGGATACAATGATTTAGTACATCTAGATATTTCTTCAAACAAAATTACACCCGGTGGTTTTATCAAACTGTTTGATGCATTGCTCAAAAATATTACTCTAGTGTCTCTGGATTTGTCTAATAGAAATAATGTTAATAAGAACAGGCTTGGAGAAGAAGGAGCAAAAGCATTGGGAAATTTATTGGAATCAAATAAAATGATCCAAATTCTTGATCTATCAATGCTATCGATTCAGGATTATCATATGAAAGAACTCTCAAATTCGATAGTAGCCTCAGATAACTTGGTTTCTCTCAGGTTGAGCAATAATGAATTAAGCTTTAAATCTATGAGCTCAATATGACATTTGTTTTCTTGAAACTATCTTCAAAAACTTGATATTTCATATAATACAGTTTTCACTGATAATTCAATGGCAATATTTTGAAAGCATTTGAAACACCAGAAAAAAAATTTAAAAGTGCTTAAAATAAAATAATTGAGGTAATATTCAATTCTCAAGATCCTAGTTATACTCATAACACTTCAAATCCTTTTCTATACTCTTCAAACACCTCCTAATCCTTCTATTTCTACTCTAAATTCTAATTTCCCAAATATAGGAAAAATCACCCCATTTTTCTTCAAAATCCTCTCTCAAAACCGCTACCTAACCCAAATCTCCCTATCCCACAACGATCTCCACACCATCCCCCTCCAAACACTCAAACCCTTCCTCTAATCTCCACCAACCTCACCCACATATCCATCTCCCACTGCCGCTTAGACGACGCTCACAAACTCTGTATCCTAAAGTACCCATCCTCTCACCTCTAGATACCTCCCTAAAAACCCACTCATAAAACGTGTTGACCTCGAAGGCAACAATTTTTCCTTCACAGAAAAATCCTTATTGGCAAAATACACTCCTAAAGAATCCAGGAATTATAGAATCGACGAAGAGATTATTCCAAGTCTCTTAAAAGTCCATCGCTTAAAGAACAGCAAAATCCAGGTCCCTACCATAAATCTTGGCGATGCTGGGGCCATCGAAGAGCTTGGCGAAGTCAAAGTACGTTCTCTAACTATCCATGTAGAAGGAAAAGACTCAAGAGAAATTAATGGACAGGATCAGGTAGGCCAGAAAAGTTAGTCTTAGGCTAAGAGTCAGAAAAATGTATGGGCCTGAAGAGAAAGCGATCCAGGGCAGAACAGAAGATTATGATGAAGTAGAGATGATGTTTAAGACGGTGATTTGTGAGCACCAAGCTGAACATAGGGAACAAGTTGAGTATTCGAAGAGAAATGAGAGTAAGAGGTGAAAAAGAGAATTTTAGAGCTGTTTGAGGATATTACAAGAGATATTGAACGATTGAAGAAGCAGTATGGGTATATAGGTAGGATTATATCTGATATGAAAGATGGGAAGTGGACAATGCCAAAGCGACAGGAAGAAATAAAATAAGTTAGAAGAAGAACAAGAAAATATGAAAAATCGGCTTAGAGAAGCCAAAGAGCAATAATACATGGGTAAAAACTATTTTGTGACTTCTTACATTAATCTAGAAATTGAACATAAAGCTAGAGTAGTTGAAAGAAGAAAAATACAAATAGAAAACAAAGAAAGGATGAAACAATCACTCTTAAAACAACAGATAGATAAAATAGAAGACAGGGACTATTATTCAGATGAACTTGAGAAAAATAAGCTTGATCACGAAGTAGCGATATCAAAACTTCAAAAAGAGCTGGATGTTCAGACCCAAAGCTTCTATAACATAAAATCAGAGTACCTCTTTCTTGAAAAACAAGTACAAGATGTGAAGAAGGAAATAGAAATGCTAAAGAAAAAGAATAAGAAATCATCCAAGAAAACTAAAGACAAAAGCAAAGATAATCTCTATGAAAGACAGTTAGCTATGAGGCAAGTTTCAAATGTTGCTTCACCCAAAGAGCAAGGGTCATCTGGCCCACTCCAACTTGGCTCAAAGAAGAAGAGTAGAGGTAGACCAAAGGCAAAGAAACGTAAACATAAATAAAACAGCATTGTGGTCAACTCAAATTTCTTATTCAATAATAAATATGAATCTGGGGTTTTGGGGTTTTGGGGTTTTGGGG